ACGCCAGTGAATATAAGACGGTTGAACTTTTTGTTAGGTGGGATTCATCTAGGATTAACGAATTTCGCGATGTTGTTATTAGCAAGTACGATTCTTTAAACAACGTTGTATTGACTAACAGCCTGAATGGTAATATTCATAGTCTAGTTAGTGAAATCACTGATGTTTTCAATGATATAACGGTTTCTTTATTTGGCAAAACTAAAACCAACTTCAATGCCATTCGAGCTGGAAATCGGAATCTTAAAGATAATAAATGGTTCAACAATGATTGCAAAATAGCCCGAAACCAATTTGTTAAAAGTAGAAATAATTTTCTAAAAAACAGATGTGAGTTTAACAAAAGATTATTTAATTTGCATCGAAGTGAATACAATCAAATTAAAAGAAAGTCTAAATTGAAATGCAATAAAGCATGGAGTCTCATCTTTGTGCCCTCTCAAAATCAAATCCCAAAAGATTTTGGAATGCCATAAAAGATAATAAGAGGTTCAATGTGTCAAACCTGACATCTTGTGAATTTTTAAAGCATTTTGAAAATGTGTACGGAAAACACTCTGAAATAAAGCCACACACCGACTTACCTTTTATTAATAATAGTATATGTGAACAACTAGATAAAGCTATATCGAAGGATGAAGTACTTTTTGCGGTTAAAAAACTCAAAAGAAATAAAAGTAGTGGTATTGATCAAATATGTAATGAATTTTTTATTGAAAGTACATGTATAGATATTTTAATGCCTTTAATGGTTACAATTTTTAACTCTATCTATGACAGCGGTTGCTATCCGGAATGCTGGCAAGAGAACGTAATACTACCCGTTACTAAAACAGGTGATTTGAATATACCAGACAATTATAGGGGAATTTCAATAATGACAATTTTTTTCAAAAATCTTCTCTTCAATTCTAAATCATAGACTGTACACTTGGTGCGAATCGTACTTGCTAATAACAACATCGCGAAATTCGTTAATCCTATATGAATCCCACTTAACAACAAGTTCAACCGTCTTATATTCACTGGCGTTTTGTTTAGTTATGTTTATATCTTTTAGAGATTTAACTCCTAATCTAAATTTAAGTGGTGAATGGTCCGAAAACTCTGTAACATCTAAAACTTCAAAATTATATATATAATCTAAATAATCTCTTGGGACTAAAAGATAATCTATAACACTGGTGCCTCTTAGCGAACAAAAGGTAAATTTTCCTAAATTTCTATCTCCACCTAGCCGGCCATTGGCGATTAGACAGTTAGTTGATTTGCATAAATCAATTAATTTATTACCAAACAGGTTTAAAACTTTATCCTGGGACTTTCGACGGATAGTATAGTCAATATTACAATCTGTGACAGATGTACCAATATATCTATCTAAATTATCATTTTCTATTCGTTCTGATTCATCTCTTGTTCTACTGTTGAAATCGCCACATATTAGTGCTTCACCTATATTGAAATATTTAATATGTTCTATTTCAAGGAATATATCAAAATTACATATGTTGTGAAATGAACTATTATCAGGCGGGATATAAACAAAAATAATATAAACATCTTCAAAAGATTCAAACAGAGGAATGGTTAGCTCTCTATCTAAATCTTACATAATGTATCTTGAAGGTAGTGAAGAGAAATTTGAAAGCGATATTAGGAAAGGAACCATTTAATGAAGAAATTTTAAATAAAAACAGTTTTTGCAGAAGCAGAAAGCATAGCCAACAGCCGACCATTAACTATTTATTTTGCAAATCCTAAGGACTTAGAACCGCTAATTCGAAACCATTTCTTAAATATTAGACTATCAATTTTGATACCATTTGGCATTATAGACGAAAGGGATAAATTCAGTAGAAAGCGCTTGAAACAGGTACAATTACTATCATTACTGGAAGAGATGGTTACATGAATACATACCATCATTACATGTACAAAACGACAGGAATGGCAGAGGGAACAACGAAACTTATCAGTGAATAATATCGTGCTTTTGGCAGAAGATAATATCCCGAGAAACCGTTGGCCATTAGGGCGTATTATAAATGTTTACCGAGGATCAGATGGATTTGTTAGAAGTGCCGAAATGAAGAAAAAAGGATTCCACATATAAATGACCAATCAACAAGATGTGTTTGTTGGAAGCCAGTGATTGTGAGATTTAAAGATAATTTAAAAGAAGTGTTTGCTAAATCGAAATTAACAAATAGGTCTTATGTTAAAGAATGACATTTCTTGTGAATTGTTATAGTTGTTATAAACAATTTTATTTGATTATAATTGTTCATGCGGGGCGGAATGTTGAAATAATTTCTATGTTAATGTTTTGTTATCACAAGTTAAAGGTTGCATGAATATATTAAAAAGGTAACTCCAAATTCCCATCATGCTAAGCAGTGTGACGCCATTTTTTGTAGAATTCCTTAGCATTTTTTTAAGTACTCTTGAATATTTTGTGAGAGAGAGAAATGGGTTTTAACGTCTACTCGACACAAACTAGGTCATTTCGGGACAAACATATGGTTTAATTTTATTTACATAATTCGCTTGCGCGTAGGGGTCTTTAGCAGTGGGAGGAAACCGGAGGACCCGTAGAAAACCCACGAGGTTGCCACGTACAACCGGGGATTCGAAACAACGCCAGTCGACTCAATGACAGACTTTATGATACAGCGCGCGCACGCTAACCATTCAGCCATCCAACCCCCCATATTTTGTAGATTTAATGGATAGATTAGAGTTGATAATAGCACCATTAGTTGTAAGTAGATTTAGAGAATCATTGGTAGATCTTAATATGTATTTTCAATTAGTTTTATCGTAAACAATGTTAAGTAATAAATTGGTTCAGTGGTACCTTGTGTGTGGGGTTTTTTTTTTTTGGTGGGGGGGGGGGTGCTATAACGTAATTTGAGCTTACTTAGAGACAGAAATTTTATTCAAGGGAGACAACTACATTTAAAGCCCCTACGTAAACAAATCGAAAGTGGTCGAATTGGTATGAATAGTTAGATAATGTTGTTATTTCTTTATTGTAGTGAATCGCAGTTTATTGTCACTGAATCGCAGTTTACCAATAACCATATTTCGTAGTAGAATTGAACTTTGTAGAAAATAGATAGAATTGACAATTGAAGAATATTATTGTGAAATATACCTGTATATAAAGCAGTGAATATACATGTAGACTTTTGGTGTTTTTTATTCAGTATAAGTGTATATGACTATCCGTAAACACCGTAGGTGACACACATACATAATATGCAAAGTTTCAAGACAATGAGTTAAAGATAAATTATGGAAGATTAGATAAAGAGATGTTAGTTCTCACTATAAAAGTTCAAAACTAGATAATGTAAAGGGAATTTTCTGAAAATTTCAGTCAAATTGATCCAGCCTGAACCGAGTATTATAGCGATTGAATTTTGGGCCTAGTCTCGATCATCATTACTAAAGTCGGTACGATAAAAAAAACATAGTCTCGATTATCCAGTTTTTGATTTAATCAGAAGCAACAGACCGGGTTCTAATCCAGTAAATATCGCAGGCTAGCTGACATCGAGGGTTGATTATGGTCTGGATAAGTGAATTAATGTATAATTAATAGTTTAGAAAACATTTCAGGCCTAAAGAAAGACCTGCAATTGGCAGATTTAGCTCCTTCATAACGTATGTTTAAGAATTGTGGCTTGTAGGCGTCCCACAGCAAGCAGTCGAAGGATCGACGCGGCATCACCAGATTACATTGAATTCTAGGGGACACTATGTCGCTTTTTGCGCAAATGACATTGGGGGGGGGGGGGGCTGATGTGGAGGAGGCTGGGGTCTGTTAATCCGGCGCTATTTCTACCCTCTCTATCTCTATTTGATGAAATGTGAACTGGTTTACACAACATTAGGGGAAGCGAAGGCCGGTGATTTGCATTCTCAACCTCCACGGAGGCTATTGGGGGAGGGGGTGGGGGAGAGATGACCGAATGGTTAGCGCGTGCGCGTTGTATTATTAGGTCTAATATTGAGTCAACTGGCGTTTTTCGATTCCCCGGTTGTACGTGCCAAGGAGAAGGGTCGCCTGTCCAACCTCGAGTGTTTTCTCAGGTTCTTCCGGTTTCCTAAGACGACTAATCCATAAATATTCAAAGTGTCCCCATTTGAATATTCTGGTATGTACTCAGGTGATTTGACCCCCCCCCCCCCCCCCCAAAGATGTGTCGACCCCGGGCATATGTCCACCTCTTCCCGATTGAAATCGACCAATATTGAATTCTAATTCGCATTTATATTAAAATAGAATATTATGGATAATATTCAGTTAGAGGTTTAGCTGCTTCAGGCTGATTTCGCTTTTTGTACGTGTGAACGCTATATAGAGTCTCCTGAAAGGGTCCTGGGATAGCCGAATGGTAAGCACATGCGCGCTGTATCATAAGGTCTGTCATTGAGTCAACTGGCGTGGTTTCGATTCCCCGGTTGTACGTGACAAGGAGTAGGATCGCCTGTCCAACAACCCCCTGTGCTTTCTCCGGGTCCTTCAGGTCCTCCGGTTTCCTTCCACTGCTAAAGACCCCTACGCGCAAGCGAATTATTCAAATAAAATTGAACCATATGTTAGTTCCGAAATTACCTAGTTTGTGTCGAGTGGACGTTAACCCTCTCTCTCCTGGCTTGAAATAAAACCAACACGTGTGTAGCACTATGCGGATTTTTTTCTAAAACAGATAACCATCCCATTATCAGTCACCGATAACAAATTTCATTTTACTTAACCGTGTCATTTTCCCAAATCAAATATGTCATGTGTAACCCAACATATTGGAGCACACTGATCAGCAGAACTAGCGCTTTCACCCATTACGGGGATCATCAGGCATTTAACAAAATGTAAATCAACAGGGTATTAATTAAATTAACACATGTATATAAAGAGATCTGGCCATATTAAAAACATTAGCATATTCCGCAAATCAAATTCAACTAAAATCAAATTATCAGTACTGTTTAAAACTCAGCTGTGGTTTCTCACGGCACCGCCAAACCTATCTGTCACGCTTTGATAAACCTGTATAAAACAAGAATCCGTCCTACATACTTCAGTCGTTCTAGATTCACCAAAATAAACAGTCATGAAGGTTTTATGTAAGTATTTATATTGGAAAACACCTGTATTCTGGATATATTAATTCTAGTGTTGATATTCTTCTAATTTCGTTAATATAACGTCGATTTAAAAAATCTATTTCGATGTGGGTGCGTGTAGAGAGAGCGAGAGGGGGAAAGAGAGAGATGAGAGAGAGGTTTAACGTCCACTTCCAAAATGAAGTGATATCGCAGATATCTTTCATATTTATTTTACAGTAAACATAAGATTTTTTTTTTTTGTTTTCGAGAACTATTGCCATTGGGGTGGAGCCTCCGCAACCATAAAAATCGCAGCAGAGTGGAATTTCCCGTGGTCGCAAATAGCACTGTGTCAAAATTAGAAATTAAATGAAATTATTGAAATCCATGTTTACCATTCCCCATAGGTCTTGTCGTTCTGTTGTGTGCTGTGGCCATCAATGCCAAGAAAGAGGAGAAGCGTCAACTTGGTTTAGCTGCTTTGGCGCCAGTTGTATCTAATCTTTTGTTGGATAAACTCCATATCAGTGACTGGATTGGTAAAGCTATTGGTTCCGTAACTGCTCTCTTCAAGGGCAAAAGTGGAGATGTGAGTATATTTTAATTTTGTGTTATACGGTTTTAAACAGCCATAATATGGCATTCATTTAAAACTCTGTTGTCACTATTGACCCTCGGATACATCCATTGATAAAGAATAATTTGCAGACGAGTTATTTGCCCCTGATTATGTCGCTTGAATATGACGATGATGGACTTTAGGCATAATCCGACAATATTGGTGTCCGCCATTATCACATATGTCATAGAACTAGTTGAATGCATTCCATATATAATTTTAACCCACGATCATTGCTACGGTAGATGCGTAACGAAGATTTGGAAGAAAAGAAGTGACGAAAAAAAATGGAAATCAAGAGTTATAGCTCTGTTTCTTGGAACCTTAAAACAGCAAAAAATACATATTGATTTAATCCTAAGTAAATGAAGTGATTTACTTGAAATACGCGAACAGTCAAAACTGAACGGGCGTCGTTTGCGCCTGCTTAGTCCATTCTGAAAGGGGTTTCTTTTTTAAGTTATATTTTTTTTTTTTGTGAATCAGCCATTTTTAATTACTCCCGCACTGTCTTCTTGGGTATATTTTTCTTTGTTGATTACAACGTTTATTGGGTCTTAAATATTGGATATAAGGATACCATACTTTCATGATAAGATAACAACATCAATATTGATTGAAATGGACCAATATTAAATTATAATCGTGTTTTAATTTCAAAACATTATGGATAATATAGAGATTCGGCTCCTTGGGTGTTATTTTTTAAAGAGATTTGCCATGTTACAGGTACCTGTGGCTGGCAATAATCCGAAACTACAATAAATCTAGACATTTTAATATATATATATATATATTTTAAAGATTACTGTTCCTAATTCAACTTTGAAACTTCACTATCACGTTGAAAAATGCAAACTTCACTTTGGAAAGAGATTCCTCATTAAGAACATCGTTCCACATGGTAAGTCGGTTATTTAAGGTTTATCCCTTTAGAAGTTCCTTCGCTAGACAATTCATGATACTTGTCTGACTGGATGCAGCTGTATCCCCCTTTGAACACTTTCTCGGTCATTATCACGGATGTGACGAGTTGATCCCTGTCATGCCTTCTATAAGGTATGTAAATTACACAAGCGAGGTTTTGAGCTTTTGGAAAACGCGCCATCGATTAAAAGAATTACTCCACCACATGTGAAACGTCCCTTGGCTGTTCTAGTACTTTTGTTGTCCCCCGCCTTTCGAAGAAAACAGTGGACTATTAAAATGAGTTCGTCTGTCTGTCTGTCTGTCTGTTTGTCCATCTGGCTGTCTGCCCGTCACACTTTTTGGGACACAATAACTCCCCTTCTAATTGACCTAGAATGTTCAAACTTGGTGTAGGTGTTAATTGGGTCAATTTTCTGCTTAGGGTAAGCAGGGATAAGCAATTTAATTGGTTGATGCTTTGGGACACGACAACTTTAGTTCTAATTAAGTGAGAGTGATGAAACTCGGTGTATAGTTTCATTACATCAATACCTTGATTACGTTCAATAATGAGCATTTTCTGCTCAGGGTAAGCAGAGCGATAAGCAATTTGATTGGCCGAGACTTTGGAACACAATAACTCTCCTTCGAATTGAGGTTGAATGTTCAAACTTGGTGTAGGCATTCATTGGGCGAATGCCTTGATCTAGTTTGGTGATCAACATTGTCTGCTTACGGTAAGCAGACATAAGCTATTTGATTGGTTGATGCTTTGGGACACGATAACTTTAGTTCTAATTAAGTGAGAGTGATGAAATCTGGTGTATAATTTTATTACATCAATACCTTAACGAAGTTTGATAATGAGCATTTTCTGCTCAGGGTAAGCAGAGCGATACGCAAATTGATTGGTCGAGACTTTGGAACACAATAACTCTCATTCTAATTGAGCAATTTGATTGGTTGATGCTTTGGGGCACGGTAACTTTGGTTATAATTAAGTGAGAGTGATGCAACTTGGTGTATAGATTCATTACATCATTACCTTGACTAAGTTCAACGATGAAAATTGTCTGCTTAGGCTAAGGAGCGATAAGCAATTTGATTGGTCAAGACTATGGAACATAACAACTCTGCTTTTAATTGAGGTAGAATGTTTAAACTTGATGTAGATGTTCATTAGGTGAATGTCTTGACTAACACGATTAACATTTCGAGCTAAAGCTAAGCAGGGCTAAGCAATTTCATTGGTCGATGCTTTGGGTCAAGATAACTTTGTTTCTCTCTGATAGAGAATGATGAAACTTAGTGTATAGTTGAGAATCTGTTTGATTGCTTGATACTTTTGTAAAAAAAAAAAATTTGCGATAAATTAATATGTGTCATCTATTTATTTTTGGATTTTGGCGGGGGACACCAGCCTCACTGTTGGCTTGTTTTTCCTTCGAAAAATCATCTTTGGAACCACAGATCTATTGAAAGAAAATGCAAAATTATTTTGTGAACCATTCTTCAATGTTTCGAATTTGTCTGTTAATTCTTTATTTTCGTTACCTAAAATATTATGACTGATTATTAACGTATTCTTACGTACAGAGATGCAAAGCCACAGTCATTGTTAGTGAACACGCCACCCATTAATAATAGCATAACTTCTCCACATGTGAAACATCCCTAAGCGGTTCGAGTACTTTTGTTTTTCCTTAGAAAAATCATGCTTTGTAACAAATGATCTATTGAAGGAATATGCAAAATTATTTTGTGGACCATTCTTCAATGTTTAGAATTTGTCTGTTAACTCTTTATGTTCGTTACCTTAAATATCATGACTAATTATTAACATATTCTTACATTCAGAGAGATGCAAAGCCACAGTCAGTGAAGGAGCTATCACCAAGACCTCTGCCTCATGCGAAGAAAGTCATCAAGATAAGGCTTTAAAATGTGCCATGGAAGCTGAACTGAAGAAGATCCAAGCCTTGGCCGCACAGGCCGCCAAGGAAGAAGCTGGCAAATAAGTGCATAGAGGAAATAAACAAAAATCTAAACAAAAAACAAAACAAAAAGTTATTACTCGATTGTGCAGAATACCGAGACTCTCTGATTATGTGTGCCAATGATTGCAGCACTGATTCCTGAAGCGGGGTTGGGTCGTTATTGATAAATGAGGCAAGTGGGACGTAATTACTGTGAATCTTAAACACAGCAATTTTTTTTTCAAATTTGCAAGGAGTGTTCATTTGATCATAAGGAATGAACCCTATCGAAATTCCAAATTTTTGTAACCTACATAAAATTTCAGATTTATCTTCCCGGTGATGCAGTTCATGGGTATAAGGAAGAGCGCTATCGATTAATGGATAGTAAATTGCGAACGAATGCATCTTTCAGGTCATATTTTGGAATTTTATAAAACATAATGGAGTGGTCCTGCGGTTTACACTCAAACGCAACACATTTAAAAATTCTTTCTGAAACTCTTTAGTCTTTAATTCAGATCGTGAATTTCGAACGTTTTGTAAATTTTTCTTTCTGATTTGTATATAATAGGCTGTTTTCTAAAAAAATAACCAGATCTGCGGGAATTGTTGACAATAACTTAAAATCTAGCACGGGCGATTTTGCTGATTGAGATCGTATATGTTTAGTTTTTCGCAATGGGCGAATTGTTGTTGATTTCTATAGTATATTGCGTGCTAAAAGCCTTGATTTAAAAAAAAAGAAGACCAGATAGAAACACCGGGAGAAAATGTATGTCCTTGGCATTCATGCAAACATCCCTTGCGTTATACCGTTGAAATGCATGATACGTCCACATTTTGCAAGAGATGGACGGATAACAGGGACAATAGATAGGGCTCATCCTCTTATCGTCACAATGTTGAAACTGTATAGTCTCTATCGCGTTCAAAACGCATTTTCGACAAAGGGGTATAACTCCGGAACGTAAGGTTTGCGGGGGTGGGGGTAGCTCTATTTGATATGGCCAACTTCCAGTTTGGTCAAAGGTCACGAGATGTAAACAGGCTAGCGCTAATCCCAACCTTAACCCTGGACCTAGCCCTAAAGCTTACCCTAACCTTAACCTGCAATCTCGCCAACAATCACGTTCTTTTTCTCATGAACCCGATACTCCACTCCAAATTTGAAAACTGTAACCGCTATCGCATTCACAGAGTTTTCGACATATTACTCAGGAAGGAAAGGCTACGGAATGATGACAATCGATAGAATTCGTCCTCTTGTGACCCGAATACTTCAATTCAAATTCGGTATGAATCTGTTAAAAACGATAGCCCCCATCCCGTAACTCAGGAACGCGTCCCAAAAATCAAACTCATCTAACCTCCAGAGGAAATCTATTCCACAGATGTAATACGAAACCCTATGTGCAAGATGACTGGGCCCTTATTTAGGGTGGCCCATGCACTCTACAGAAATACAGTCCACCGCTGATAGTTCGAGACTACCACTGAAGCGTGCACATTCGTCGTGCCGAGACCAACTTTCTGACAGTATGATACTATAAATAGCCATGGCACTTGCTATTCTCTACAAATCTATCAACTATTACAGCCGTAAAAAATTATTGTTGACGATTTTGAATAGCAGTAAAATTAAGCTTCTTGGTTATTGCAGCAGATTTAGAAATTACGTTCGTTTCATTTTTTAAATCGCTTTATCATTAACTGTACCGTTAAGAGCGGCATCTTTTGGTTTAGTACAAATAATATCTCTGAAACACTCGGTTTAGACAGGAACATGATACTAGCAGTAGTTTCATTTTACTTTTACAAACTTCTTAAAACGATTGTTGAGCTACCTAACGTGCTTATTTCTAAATTCAATTTCATAATCTAGCTTTCGGTTACGTTTCGTAAAAAAGTAGTCTTGATTATCCCGACCTGTCAATCAGACGTAGAATGGTCGATAGACTGGTTAAGCGAGACTAATTTCAAAACAAAGGCACGTAACCTATCTTTTACTCAAAAGTGTCTGGATGTTATGGACGACACTTGGAACCAGTTTTCAGTCTATTATTTACAGATGATTAATGGTCATAGCTTATTAAGTACAACATAATCGTTTATTTAGTGACTATGATTGTGTGAAACTGATTTGAGGCTTGGCATATATATAAATATTGTGGCCTAATTGTCGAGATATATGGAGATATTTATTTATGGTGGGTCACCCTACCTTATACCGAAAACTTAAACTAAGTTACAACCGAAATTTTAAGAAATACTGCAACTTCATTGGATATATGCAAATTGATTTTACTGGTCAGCCAATCGAATTGCAGTATTTCTTAAAATTTCGATTGTATCTTAGTTTAAGTTTTGGTGAATAAGGGCCCTGGCCTTTAAGTTCACGTCCACTTCAGGGGCCTGTTTCTCGAAATCTTAACTAGAGATAAAATCCAAATTTTAGTAGATACACAATATAAATATAAATATTTGGGGGAAACGTTAAACCCAGTTCCTACACCAGTTAAAAATAGTAGTATCCATTTATTTCTGGAGGTCAGGGGTCAAACAGAATTCTACACCTTTTCTGACCACTTAGTATGAGATGTTACGTAAAACAATCCGCCACAGTATTGTTACGTCACAGAACAATTACATCTGTGAAGCGAATTTCGATGTTCTGTCTGAGAAGGTGCTTTATAAAGTCGTCTAATAAAAATTTTGTGAAAAGATCTACTATCAATAATTCTATTAATCCAGTGATTATACAGACAGTGAATACCAAGGTAACCTTTCTTATTGCATGTAGTAAACTTACATATAGGACTATCGTAAATATGAGTAGCCTAAAGCTAAAAATAGGTGGCACTATAGTAGAACCAGGCTCGTGTAGAGACGTCTGCTGTTACAGGTGTAAATACAAGATGAACCACTTGTTATTATATCATTTCTATAAATTTGTTATTTTGATCAATGATTTATTATAAATTTTAAGTCGGTACTACTATTAGAAATAGAATGGAAATCAGATATAATATGATTCTTTCAAAAATAAATGTTATACGCTTTTAGTAATTTACTTGGTATACGGATGTAGCTAATACTGTGTTTATCTCTACAATTGATACAGCCTTCTAGGCTTTGCGCAAGTAAAAATAGGTTCAAACGCACAATTCTCAACACATATCATTACAGTTTGTATTGAAACAAACAATTCTATCACAAATAGTGAAGACTAGACCACTAAAATAGTTACCGCATAGTTTGTTTTTTTTATATACGCCCACATTTTCATGGGAACGTATATTGTCGTAGCCCCCGTCCGTCCCCCCGGACGTCCGTCCACAATTTGTTTGTGGACACTCTACATGTCACATTTTTTTTCGATTTTAACGAAACTTAAAATATAGGTCTATCTCCCAAAGATCTCGGTTCCTTTCGATATTGACATATATTAGACCATAACTTCATGGATTATGGCCCCTGAGTGTACAAAAATCACGTTTTTAGCCTGTGGACACTCTAGAGGTCACAATTTTCGTATGATTTTGATGCAACTTGAAATGCATGTTTATAACCCAAGGATATTGGTTCCTTTTTAATATTTGCGCATATTGGATTGTAACTTCCTGAATTATGACCCCTGATTGTACGAAAAAAATCGTATTTTTAGCTTGTGGTACCTTAAAAAAAACATCCGAACATATCACCGTTACACTGCATGTAGTGACGACTGAGTTCGAATTTCGTGAAAATGGGACCAAAATTGCCGGACAAAATGGTCGCCCCCCCCCCCCCCCCCCGTATGCAAATAGTGTAAATATATGGTAGGGTAGGGTGGGCCAAGGCGCCCATTCGGGGTAAAAGGCCCATGCCCTTTTAAGGAATATTAAATGACACGTGACAAGCGGGAACGACGTCATAATTACGAGGAAGAGCCTAGCACATTACAGACGGAAGTTGTTGAACTTTAGCTTATAAGTAAGTATTTTATTGTGTCAACACCATTTTCACTAATTTTCTTATAAAATATGACTTATAGAGTTTAATGTGCATAAACGCCTAAAGTCGGCGTAGAAACATTCTGTTAATATTAGCGCCAATCCTGTAACTGGCCATATTTCACAAACTACTAGAGATAATCAGTTGAAATTTTCAGGATGTTTTTATCTTAGCAAAATGAAACTATTGATACCGCAATTATGTGTTTTTATTAACTTTAAAAATTTGCTTGCCTATACCTACTAATAGTGATCTAGTAACCTTGCTAAATATATGAAAGGTCGGACCATAAAAGTTTGTATGGGGGGCATAACGCCCATAGTGTGTGAGGGCAAAAAGCCCACGCTGGGCGTTTTACCCCAATACCTGTAGTATAATATAAATATTGATATAAATAACAACATAAAGTAGACCAAACACGTTATGCATTTTTAAGAAGTAACCTATTTTATTTATACTTTTTTAATTGCAGGATGGTTAGACATTACAATAAAAAAACTACTCGAGGTCAATATGGTAACGAAAGATTACAGTCAGCACTGGATTGTGTCAGAAACGGAATGCCATTGATTAAAGCCAGTCGACAATTTGAAATTCCTCGTAGATCCCTAAGACGGCATCGAGACAATAAAGTAAAGGTGCCCGGAACTTTGCATTTGGGAAAGCACACCCCTATCTTGCCCGAGAATGTGGAGACGCAGCTACATGATCACATACAGTTTATGGAAAAATCATTTTATGGTCTTACAACAACTGATGTTAGAAAATTAGCTTATGAGATCGCTGAACAATCAGGAATTCCGCATCCTTTCAAGGCAGAAACTAAGAAGGCAGGGAAAGACTGGCTTTCCGGATTTTTAAAGAGAAATCCAGATTTGAGTGTCCGGCATCCACAGGCAACTAGCCTATCGAGAGCAATTGGCTTTAATAAACCTAAAGTAGACCAGTTTTTTTACATTATACCGTGATGTGTTAAATCAGCATAAATTTGTTAGTTCCCAAATATGGAACATGGATGAAACTGGCATAACAAACGTCCAGAAACCAGGCAACATTATAGCTACAAAAGGTGTTCGA